TCCTACAGCACCCAGCCCTGGAAGTCCCGTGCCCTGGAGCAGGGAACACCCCATAGGGCCCCTGCCGGTCCTCTTCCCCCTCTCCCCTCACCCCGCCCCCAACATCTCCATCATTTGTCCCAAGATTTTTCCAGAGACCAAAGGCATAGAGAGGAATTGGAAGCACCACGGGCCACAGGGAGGGTGGGAGCTGTGAAGAGGAAAAGGTTAACGCTGGGGGTGGAGGTGTCCTGTGGGGTCACAGCAAGGTCCTAACAACATCCCCTCTGGGCTCTCTCCTCCCTCCCAGCTGCTCTGCCCTGGCCGAGCCCTAGTCCTGATTTCCCTTTCCTTTTTGGGGGGCGGAGCGAGGGGAGGGGTTAGAGGGGGGCGGAGAGAGCCTTCCCACCCACCTTGACAGCCTGTCAAGTCATCCTGCCTGGAAGGGAACGCTGGGGAGAAGCAGAAAGCTGCTCTGCTGGTGTGTGTGTGTGTGTGTGTGTGTGTGTGTGTGTGTGAGACAGTCTCCTGTGGGATGTCTGCTGAGGCCCCCTGAGCTCAGGCTGCCCTGAAAGGTGAAGGGTGAAGTAGAGCAGCTGATGTGCGGGGTCAAAAGGCAGGAAGCTGGCCCTGGCGGGGCAGCTCAGTTGCTTAGGGTGTCTGCCCTGAAACTCCAAGGTTGTGGGTTTGAGCCCAGGTCAGGGCACCTATGGGAAGCAAACAGTGAATGCATGAATCAGTGGAACAATCTCTCTCTCCCTCTCTCTCTCAAAATCAATTTTTAAAATAGAAAGGAAGCTGCCCTAGCCAGTGTGGCTCAATGGATAGAGCATCAGCCCACAGATTGAAGGGTTCTGGGTTCGGTTCCCGTCAATGGCACATTCCTCAGTTGCAGGCTCTATCCTCAGCCCCAGGAGGATCCTGGTGGTATGTGCAGGAGGTAACCAATCAGTGTGTCTCTCTCATCTTGATGTTTCTCTCTGTCTCTCCCTGCTCCCTTCCACTCTCTCTAAAAATCAATGAAAAAATATCCTCGAGTGAGGGTTAAAAAAGGACAGGAAGCTGTTGGGGCAGCGCTGTTAGGATCACAGGTAGAGAACTGAGGCTCACGGAGAGGGAAATCAGGACTAGGACTCTGTCTGCCCCAGGCTATTGCTGCACTACAACTTATGTGCTCTAGCTGGGCTTGGTGGGTTAGGGGGCCCGGGGAGGGAGGAAGAGGGGTGTGGCATAGCTGACTAGGGTACCCAGAGGCTGTTGTAGCCAATGGCACCACCTACTGGTTTAAAAGGTCATAGAATAGGAAGCTGGGGACCAAAGTCTGCTGGGTGCCCGACCCTACCCACCCTCCCTCCTGAGTTGACAGGAAGATAAGGAGGATCCTGGTGGCGACTCCACACCCGGCAGGTTGGGGCCTTGTCCCAAGGACAGTGGGTGTCGGGAGCAGGGTTGTGGGGCTAGGGCCTGAGAGGTCACAGCGGGCTACCCTGACATTGCCCTCTGACCAGGTGGCCTGCCTCCAGCCTCCTCAGCGAAGGCAGAAGGGCTGCTAGGGTTAGTTTGGGGTGGATAGGATTGCCCTCCTCCCCAACCCCTAATAAGGGAGGCCTGTGTGTAAAGTAGGAGCATCCAGATAGTTTGGGGTTGAGGTTCCGGCCCTTACAAGCCAGGAGAGATCCTGAAGGGACAAAAAGCTCAGGGTAAAGGTGGAAGAAGAAACTGGAAGGGCCCTCAGAGGGCTAGTCTGGCCCATCCTGATCTCTCTGGTCATACACTATAGGGCAGTGATCGGCAAACCGCGGCTCTTGAGCCACATGCGGCTCTTTGGCCCCTTGAGTGTGGCTCTTCCACAAAATACCACAGCCTGGGCGAGTCTGTTTTGAAGAAGTGGTGTTAGAAAGTCTAAGTTTAAGTTTAAAAAATTTGGTTCTCAAAAGAAATTTCAATCGTTGTACTGTTGATATTTGGATCTGTTGACGAATGAGTTTGCCGACCACTGGGCTAGGGCCCTTGCTCTCAGCCTAAGGATGCGACAGGAAAAGTCGGGACCGGGGTGAAGTGATGCTCTTCCGATGCCTGTCCTCCAGAGTGCAGCAGCCACGGCTCTCTCCCATCCCATCCCATCCCCCTGTACTGCAAGCCTGGCCGCCCAGGGCCCAAGCTGCTCCTTCTGCTCCTGCAAGCCAAGTACCTGTAGCGCTACCTGGCCGGTGGCTTTGACATGCTGGCATGGAGAGCTGGCATGGAGAGCTGGCGTGGAGAACGAGTGCTGGAGTTGCTGTAGCAGAGGGCGCTGGCTAGCTGCCTGCTGGTGCCGCATGCCTCTCCCTGGGTGGCAACACTTTTGTGTAGATGTCACTGCTCATGAGCCAGGAGCTGGGCATGGCCTGGCACCTGCAGAGCCACATCTTCAGCATCCTGGTGATGGGCAATGTGGACAGCTCAGTGCTGGGTGAGGGTGACAGGGACAAGAGCAAGAGGGCACCTGGGCCACACAAGTCAGTGATATTTCAGCTCCACAAGCCAGGCTGAACTCCAGACGGACATATTCTGCTCACCATACAGTCTAGGACCTGCATCTGTCCTAAATGTGGCTCCGGACTGCCTCTGATGTGGCCTTCTTACCCTTGGTCCCACCTGGGCCTCCCCCACCACAGCTGAATGGACAGCCCAGAATGAGCGTGTTGTCTGAGTCCAGCCTGGCACGCATTCATCTCCAGCAGCCATTCTCTGGGGAAGGGGAGCCAAGCAGGACGCGATGAGACCGAGCACCTGTGACCTTCCATACATTCTCTCCCATAATCCCCACAGTGAGCGCCGAGGGAGGCTATGTCATCTGAGATTCATCTCTTAGGGCACATGCTTTGGAAAGAGTCTCGTGTAGCTGGATGTTCAGATGGCCTCTAAGAGAGATACTCAAACTTTGGTATGTATCACAGTCACCTGAGGCTCGGGGACAATTCCGAGGCCCAGACCCCATCCTGCCCCAGGGAGCCTGGGCCCCTGGGCTTGTGTGGGCTCTCCGCGGGAGTCTGACCCACCGAAGTTAGAGGATCGCTCTGTTTCAGCTTCCTCAGGAAGGGCCAAGTGAATGCTAACAAGTTCCTTACTGGACGGCTATCGTTGCAAGGCAAACCATTCCATTGGTTGGCTCTCATTGGCCAACTAGGTCTAGTTTAAAAGGAAATTTTCCCCTTTGAATCACTCACATCCTTGATGCAGAGTGGCATGGCATTTCTCTAAGAACCCTTCGATCTTCTCCATCTCAGCTGTTGGCCACGCTGCTTCCTGCACGGTTTGGGTAACCAGTGTGCAAGACAAACCATGAAACAAGGCATCCTTTTGGTCCATCCCCTTATGTTTTACCATCCCCCGGTCTCCAGGCATCCTTCTCCCACCCGGCTGGGTCATGCTGGACTCTAGAAGCTCATGGAGGCCACAGATCCCAGGGCACTAGGCCTCTGAGGACTCCATGACCCAGTCACGTTGCAACAACTCCTGGAACAGTGGTCGGACCAGCTCTGAACCCACTCAACTGTCCTGCCATCTAGCGTTTTCCTTCTCTTCCCTGATGATGCCACAAAGCTGGAAAGTGCCACAGTGAAGGATAGTCCCAGACCAAGTGGCTCTTTCAGGAAGAGCCGGAGCGGGGGCAGGTACTGGCATGGCTGCCAAGTATGGCCAGGAGGCAGCTGTGGCAGGCACTTACAATGAGCAGAGCAAGGGCAATGGGCCAGGTATAGAAAGTCACCAGGGCAGAAAGACCTAGCAAAGGACAACTGTAGGGTGGTACCTCACCCCCAGGGTGACCTTTCCTCCCCCAGTATATCGCTGGTCTTGCGAATTGGACCGCCTGACCTTTCCTCCATAGAGGCCTCAGTGATATTTCAGCTCCAGACCCAGGAAAGCAGCAAAACCAGACAAGCAGTGCCATGGCTAACATCAGGACTGCGGCACTGACTGATGACCCCAGGACGCGATGGGAGCACGCCAGCGCATTTTCCTTCCCTCTCCCCTCCTCCTAGGCGCATCCCCATTACCCTCCACACTCCCAAGCTCCAAGGGCCCTTCCTTTGCTCTAGAACTTGTTCCCTAAGGCCATTTCTCCTACGAATTACTGCTTCTACCTCTAGACTTTATAAATAAATGGTCTCTCCTAGTTTGAGGCGTGGCTCAGAATTCTTTCCTAGCCAGAACTCAGGTACCGAGGTTGCTGAGCCAGGTCTGGTCTGATCCTCCGGGTCTAACACCTGGGGCGATCCTGCCCTCCCTGCTGCCTACAACCCAGCTCCATGGGAATGCCTCTGGACCCTCACTATGAGCAAGGGCCCTCTGCACCCTCTGCTCATCCCAGGCCACCTTCCTTACTTCTGTCCTAAAAGGTGTCCGTGTCTTGGTAGGACAGTTTTGTGACCGCTGCCCAACTGTAACTACAGAGTCAGAGGAGACCATGTGACTGTCCCACTGGACAGCCAGGGATGTCCAGTCGTCCATGTGTCAGGGCTGTCCCCCCAGAAGGGGTTTGAGGCTGGGAGGTGGGTCATGAGCTGCACATGAGCAGTGGGAGCCAACCCCCTCTACCTGGTCCCCACAGGTGTGTCTCAGCTGATGAGACCAAGGCCCAAGGCCTGGTGGTCAGGATCACAGCCATACTCCAATTCCACCTGTGCCAGGCTGAACCATCTGGCATTACGATGGGTACTTCCTGGCCGCTCGGGTGAGGCCCCCGATGCCAGTTTTCTACAACCTCCAGGACCCCCTCTGTAATGCTGCCTCCTGCACAAGCTGCTGGCCAGCTGGCAGCGGGTCTGGGAGACCTCCCGCTATAGCCCACCTGTACCTCACCCCCCGCCCTCCCAGAGTGCCTCAGTGCCCTCAGCACCTTCCTGGGGAGGCTGGGCCTGCCCCTGAGCCTGGCTCTGATGGGACTCTGGGCTCCGACTCACCAGCAGGACGGGGGTCAACTGCTCAGTGGACAAGGAACAAAGACAGGGACAAGGGACAAAGACAGGATAGCAGAGACATTGTCATCTCTTGATTTATTCAGGTTATTTAATATACAACGTAACTGTGACGCAAAGTGTGCAAAGTTAAAGCCTTCGACTGCAGCTGCGAGGAGAGGGCAGGCTTGGTCCACCTGGGGGTGGTGGTGAGTCAGAAACAACGGGCTGCCTCCTCCTGGGGCAGGGGAAGAGGGAGTGGCCTGAGGAGCAGGGGGCCTAGGGCCAGCGGAAGGGGGCAGAGACCTCCCTCCGGCCTAGGTTAGGAGCCCAGAAGTACCCCACGGCTGAGAGGGCAGCAGCCCAGGAAGGAGCCAGAGGCAGGGCCAGGAGAGCACCATTTCCGGGGTGGGGGTGGGGGTGGGGAGGAAGGTACCCTACAGGAGAAGCCAGGAGGGGCCACCTGCCCCAGGGAAGGGAGCCAGGCCGGAGGAGACTGCAGTGAGAAAACCTGAGGCAGGCGCAAGGCCTGAGAGCCCAGGCTGGTGGGCTCAGGGGGGAAAGGAAGGGGCTAGAGAAGGGGAAACCTGTGGGGGGGGGGGGCTCCTAGGGCAGCCGGGCCCCAGCAGTCCTGACTCTGCAGGGGATGCCCAGCCAGGGCCCGCAGCCCCTCAGAGCCTCCCCTCCTGTCTTCCTTGAAAGGAGCTGGGCCCCGTAGTGCAAATCTGCGGACCGCTCAGTCGTGGAGGGAGGCTGTGCCTAGAGGGGAGCCCTGGGGTGTGCTCTCTCTGCCACCTCGGCCTCCACCACTGCTTCCACCACCGTCCTCAGTACAGCCGCTTCTCGTAACTGTGGGGACAAGGCAAGAGGGAACTGAAAGTGGGCATGTGGACCCTGCTCCCTTCCCAGATGCCCCTGCCCAGGCAGGGGTGCCAGGCAGCCCCCAGATGAAAGAGAGGCAGGAAACTGCAGGAGCTCCTGCCTCTCAGCCCAGGGGTTTGGGGAGAGCAGGCCCAGAGACAGTCACGCTCCTCCAGCCACAGTCAGAGCAGAGCAGACCGTCCTCAGGGCTGGGATAGAGTCAGGAAGGCGTGGCCCATCCCTACATAGCAAGCTCTGACCAAGCTGAGCCTCTGCTGCCCACGTCTCCACCACGCCCCTGCCCATCAAGTGGCCTAGGCCCCTTGTGGTCACTGAGTCCAGCCCAAGACAGACAGCTCCTGCTGGGGGAGGGGCCCCTGCTGGCTGCCCCCGCCACGGTGGTAGTCCTAGGGTCCATGTCCCATGATGACACCCCAGTGCCACCCCCAATGCAGGGCCCCCCTCCCACCCGAGCCCAAGCCCCACCCAAAGGGTCCCTGCTCTACTCTACACTTGCCCGGGCAGCGCAGTTACTTACACGGCAGAAAGGTATAGCTACGGGAGGATGGGGCAGAAAGAGACACAGGTTAGACGCCCGCCTATGCCTGGGGGGACAGGCCCTCTCAACCAGGCGGGGGGCCACACGCCTGCTCCTACTGCTGCTGACTAGCACTGCCCCCACCCAGGGTGGCCCCAGCGCTGGCCCTGGTGGCTGTCTCTCTGCCCTTCTTCCGCCAGAGGACTCTTGTCCCTAGCCTATCCCTGCCTGCCTGGGGCTGCCACCAGCAAGAGCCCAACACTGCCAGCTCCTGCCACCAGCCACCAGCCACCACCAGCCACCAAGCTTCTACGGAAGCAAGGGATGGGAGCTAGGAGGAGCTGCCCGAGGAGAGGGGAGGGGCCTGCCTGCCTAAGGGCTCAAGGATGGGTCGGCCCTGTAGGAGTGGGTGATGGAGACATCCTGCAGCAGTCACCATCCCTGGTGGAGATGGTCCATGGGGTCCCTGAGACCTCAGCTCAGCCTCTGAACCACGGTCCCGCCTGCCCGACCCGGTGCCAGCCAGCTGGGAGGGCAGGGAGGCCGCCGGACTTACGAGTGCAGGCCGTGGACACCACCCTCGATCTGAGCGGACATGGTCCGCTTCTCAAACTTGAGCTCTCCTGAGTACATCATGGACCTGCAGGCAGGTGGTTGGAGCAGGTCAGGGCACCAAGGGAAGAGGGGGAGGGGGGGAGGGGAGGCAGGGATGGAGAGGGAGGGAGAGAAAGGAGCAGGATGGGGGAGCCAAGAGCCTCCCAGGTGCCACCCACCTGCCCCTCCCCCCTGCCCCCAGTCACAGCACTCACCGCAGGGCAGAGAGGCTCCGGGCACCGATATCCTGGCAGCCATGCTGGATCCCTGCTATGAGGTAGGGCACGAACTTCTGAATGGAGCCTTTGTCCTGGATGGAGCCGGATACGCCCTGCGGGATCTTCACCTTGTCCCCCTCGCTGTGTGGAGGGCAGGAGACTGAGCCCCGTCTCTCTCAAGGGCACCAACAGAAGAACCCCCAGAGCAGCCCCCCACTGGGCTAACACGTAAGAAAGCATGGATCCCGAGTCAGGAGGTCTGCTACTGGGGCCCTGTGACTCAGTTTCCAGAAATATAATATGGAGATCCGGTGCTATTTGGGAAGTCAAAGGCAGGTGTGGACCCTTGAAGGGCTGTGGGCTGATCTGCCTGGGACCAGGGCTCAGGGGCAGGGCACCTGAAGTATCGTTTCTGGCTGCTGCTGCTCTTCTCCATGGCATCCAAGGAGCCCATGCCCCGGTACTTCTTGAGCCTCACCCCGTCGGAGAAGAAGTACTCGCCAGGGGCCTCGGTGGTGGCGGCCAGCAGGGAGCCCATCATCACTGCGGTGGGGGGAGGGGCAGGGTCAGTGCTTCCGGTCCACAAGCCTCCTATTGCCCCAGCCCAGCTCCCAGCCCCTCCCAGGCCCGCCCAGTCCCCAGCAGACCCCCTTACCGGTGGATGCGCCCAGGGCCAGGGCCTTGACCACCTGCCCCGCGGTCTGGATGCCACCGTCCGCTATGACTGGCACCCCGAAGCGCCGGGCATACTCCGCCACCTTGTACACGGCCGTGCCCTGAGGCCGGCCACAGGCCATCACTGCGGGAGGGGACGCAAGACGGAGATGTCAACGGCAACCAAGGGGCCAGAGACCGGACCCTTTCTCCTTGTGCCCCACCTCCTCTCGGGAAGGGGGACGGGCCTCGGTTATGTTTCTGAGGGACAGATGGGTGGCAGCAATAACACTAGGGTGATTGTCACTCCAACGGCCCAGACCACCCCATCCACGACAGCACTACGTGGCATTCTGGTAGGAGAGGGGTCAGTACTGGCCCTCGGAGTATGGCACCCCCTACACTGGCGCACTCAGGCCTGGTGACCCCCAGCCTCACCTCCCTCCATATACAAGTTCCCCTTCGAGGCTTCATTTGCAAAGCCTGTTGCTAGGGTAATCATGATCTCCTTCGGGATAGTGCCTTGCATTTGTTTAAGTTTAATTGTCCAAGGTCCTTCAGCATGAGGCTCCAAATGGGAAGGATCAGGAAGCAGCACGTGTGTGGGATGGACGCAAGGGCAGGGAGAGGCCTTCTCCAGAGGGTCTTCTGTTTTATCCCTATCACATCCCAAGTGTTCGAACAGTGCCTGACACATAGGAACGCAGTATTTGTTAAGCGACTGAATGGAAGGCCCACGTTTCACCGCAGCTGTCAGCTGAAGTGAAGGGTAGGAACTTAAAAGCAGAGGCTCTGGAGGCCAGAAAGGGACATGTTTTGAGGAGAAAAGCCCAAATTGATCACTCCATGTTCTGGAAAAATGACCCTCACTAGAGGGGCCAGTCCATCCCCGCAGGCCAAGCAAGGACCCACCAGTCAGTCAGACACCAGCCTCCAGGGAACACCCTGCAACCACACGGGGCACATGGTCAGGGCCCACTGTCCTCCTCTTCGTGTTTGGGGTATCTATCCTGCAAAAGGGCTTTGCGGCTGAGTGGAACCCCGTCCCTCGCTAGCACCACATGGTGATCAATTTAAGGAATTTAAGGATGGCCGTCTCCCTGTCTTAGGTATCTGCCACGCCACGAAGCTAATCCAAACCGTGAGCCGGCTTCCCATAGGCACCAGCTAGAGAAGCAGTCACACCAGCCTTGGGCCTCTAGCTTGGGTCTCCTTGACCAGAATCTGGGAAGCACACAGGCTGGCACACACCTAAAACTCCAGTCACCTCATTTTATCCCTGCCTCTCCCCACGTCACTGAGCCAGACAGGCAGAGCCTGAGCCTGGGTCACCCCTGAACCCACCATCCCAGGCAGGAGCCTGGCAGAGCAAGCACTCAGCATGTACCCATGGGACAAGAGTGAGGCCCCAGGGCCTGTGGAGGGCCAGTGGGGTGTTCTCAGTGGCAGTCACTCTTCTCCTACTGATACCCACCTTCTTGGGTGATGCAGATGGAGCCACAGCCCATGCCCACACGCAGCCCGTCCACACCAGCGTCAATCAGATTCTTGGCCTGAGCTGCTGTCACCACTGGGGGAAGGTGGGGAGCGGCAGGGAAAGAGGAATAGCATGAGGATGAGATGCGCCCACCCTGCCCTGGGACCGCAGTCCAGCCCCACCCCCACCTACAGTGATCAAAGCCCATTCACTCAGCCCCCAGGCTCCCGTGTAGATACGCCATCACCTTGGGATGCTGAAGGACAGGACATTACATGGTGAGGGGGCAAGGGCCAGGGGTGATGGGGGGCTCTACACTCACCATTCCCCCCAATCAGCTGGAGGTGGGGGTACTTCTTCTTGATATAGTGCACCATGGAGATCTGATACTCAGAGTTCCCCTGGGATGAGTCCTGAGAGGAGGGGAAGAGGGCAGTTTTGGTTAGGATGGCTGAGGGTCCTCCCTGGGAGAGGGGGCTCTTGAGCGGACAAACTCCTACAATCGTACAAAAATGCTGTGAGAATGTGTTTTTGTTTGTTTGTTTCCTGGGAAGATACTTGACAGCTCTCGGCTGATTCTCAAAAGAACCTGCTTTCCTCCAAAAGCTAAGACCATTAATGCATAGTTTCAGAGCAGACAAAGCCCGTTCACACGCACTGATGGGCTGGTCCTCGCAGCTAGGCCGCCTGGGGCCTGTCCTGTTCTCACGGCTCACTCACCACATGAAGAAAGAACTTAACCTCCTCAGCCTCCCTCTCTTCCTCTGACAAGGGGTGTGGTAACTGTACCTCAGGGGGCTGCTGGGAAGGCTGAATGAGACACAGAGGTCTCAGAGCAGGGCCTGACAAGTGGGAGGTTCCCCGTGAGTGTGAGCTATAACCCAGAGGCGCTCAGAGGGGCCCACCGTTGGTCTGAGCCGTTGGAGTATCACTGACCCTTCTAAAGGCTTAATCAGAGGCGAACCCGGATCTCCCTAAGCCTCTACTGACTGCACCCCGCTGCTCCCAGGGGCTGCCTGTACCAGCACTATGACGTCGGCGCCCGCCTGGGTGAGCAGGTCCAAGCGGTATTTGTCGTCCTCGCGGGTGCCCACAGCTGCCCCGCATAGCAGCTGCTTGTGGGAATCCTTGGAGGCTAGAGGGTAGTCCCGGTTCTTCTTCAGGTCGGTGCGGGCAATGATGGCCACTAGCTCGTCACGGTCATTGACAATGGGCAGCTTCCCTGAGGAGGAACGCAGAGGTGAGATGAAGGAGCCACTTCTGGATTCCCCCTGGGAGTGGGGTGGACCACGCGAGATTCCACTGAAATACTCAAACCAGCCACTAGGTGACAGCACCACCCAGGAAGCCCTCCTAGGGACCTGGACCTCTTCCCAAGGAACAGGAAGCAAAAAAAACACCCTGAAGCCAAGTGGGTTCCGGAGCACTTCCTGCCCTGGCCAGGCTGGGGTGGGCAGCCCCTGAGCACTGGCAGATGTTCACCTGCTGGGCCACAGGCCACAGTGGTCAAAAACTCCTAGCCAGGACACATACGTGACGCTGTCCTGCAGGAGAAACATGTGCCTTGTACAATCCCACCCCCAGGGAACAACCCAGTGTGGGTCAGGGAAGCATGTCCCAGTGTCTCCACCACAGGGACCAAATGGATATTATGTCAACCATCCCCATGTCAAATACATCTGATCTCAGGACTTCTCAGAGCCTTTCATAAGCTATCGTACAATTTGTTATGCATTGATAGGGAATATAGAAAAGAGAATTTTTGCAGAAATCGGTTTGGCTCAGTGGATAAGGTCCCAGGTTCGATTCCGGTCAAGGGCATGTACCTTGGTTGCAGGCACATCCTAAGTGGGGGGTGTGCAGGAGGCAGCTGATCTCTCATCGATGTTTCTAACTCTCTATCCCTCTCCCTTCTTCTCTGTGAAAATTCAATAATATATATGTAATTATTATTATTATTATTATTATTTTAAATAGCATTGTTCAGACTTAGATGACCACAGAGCCCTTTCTTCATGATGAACGTTTCTCAGGACTACTTTTTTGGGGAAACTGTGAAGATGCTGAACAAGGGGCAGGCTTTCCTGAGCCAAGAAAAGGACCTCAGGAATCACACTCCAGCCTGGGGTCATTCAAACCTTCCCCAAAACCCAGTCTGCTTGCTGGGACAACCTGCAGGGCTGTGAGGGGGAGCTGGGGTGCAGGAAGCCAGGCTGGGAGTGGGTCCCACATTTTCTGCCTCCTCCCTGGTACCTTTCTTGCTGCGCTGCAGGATCTCATTTGCCTCTTTCAACGTCACACCTGCTGGAGCCACCACTAGCTCATTCCGCGGCGTCATCACCTGTGGGGCCGGGAACATTTGCCTGCAGGTTGGCAGGTGAGAGAGAAGGGAGCCAGACCTCCCTCTGGTCCCTGTCACAGACACCGTGGGGCCCTCTCTCTGCCCCCGCCATGCGGCCCCTGCCCTCCAGGTACCTCGCTGAGGAAGATGGTGTGGTCCTTCTCGGCGAGGAAATCGATGTCTCGGGAGGTGACAATGCCCACCAGCTTGCTGCCCATGGTGCCTGTCTCCGTGATAGGGATGCCAGAGAAGCCATGCCGAATCTTGGCCTCCAGCACGTCGCCCACGGTGTGCGAGGGGTTCAGCACCACAGGGTCCGTGATGAAGCCCTGTTCAAATTTCTGTGGGTAGAAACGGGGGGAAGGAAAGGCTGGAAGAGAGCCTGAGGAGGTGTCAAGCGGGGAGAGGGTGTCCTGAGTGGGGTGAAGAGCCATTGGGAAATGAGGGCTGGGCCTGTACCCCACACTGTGGCGAAGGGCAGACAAGACCCCACAGCAATCAACGAGGGGCTGCACCAGCCTTGGGGCTGGCAAGGGAGTTGGGGGCCGCCCGGTGGCATTTTCTTTCCGGGGGGAGGCCTGGTACTTGCCTTCACCTTCCGCACCTCATTGGCCTGGAACTCTGGCGTGCAGTTGTGGTGAATGAAACCAATTCCGCCCATCAGCTGGGGTGGGAGAGAAGCAAGGTCAGAGCCCAGGGCCCACCCTCCTCACCTTGAAAACCCCACCTCCCCAATTCCCCCTGACGCCAGTGCACCACCCTATTCCGTCCCCTCCACCCTCCCAACCCAGGTGCCCAACTCACAGCCATAGCGATGGCCATGTCAGCCTCCGTCACCGTGTCCATTGGGGAGGAGATGAGCGGCGTCTTCAGCGTGATCTTCCGAGTCAGAGCTGAGGTCAGGTCCTGAGGACGAAGGCACAGCCCGCGTGAGGAGTGTTGTCATTCACTCAGCCAACACTCACCGAGCCCCTGCAGGTACCCAGCACCAGGGAGGGCCTGGGGAGACAGCAGTGAACAAGGTGGGCGAGGCCCCTGCTTCCTCTCCCAGGGTTTGAACTCCACTTGGAAGTAGAAGACAAGCAGGAAACACATGCACATGTGTTTCAGTCAGGGTGAAGGTTCCAAAGAAAAGCAAGAGGAAAAGGGACCCCGGAAAGAGGGGTGTGGTGGTCAGGAAAGCCTCTTTCTTAGCAAGTAGCAGCCAATCAAAGTCTGAGGAACTATGTATGGTTCCAGCCTCTGATTCCAAGTCTTCCTGAGATGCATTTAAGAAAGAAAACCGCAAGTGGAGTAGAGGGAAGTGAGAGAGGCAGATGCCTGGCAGGGGCAAGGAAGCGTAGCCTTGAACGCCACGGACAGCTTGCAGGCGTCTTCAAACTACGGCCCGCGGGCCACATGCGGCCCGCAGAGGAGTCTGATCCGGCCCGCCAGGTTTTTTGGGCAGTGAGCGCAGCCGAGGTGTTACAGTAGGAATTAGTAGTTCATATAGTCCGGCCCTCCAGCTCTCTGAGGGACCGTGATCTGGCCCCCACTTTAAAAAGTTTGAGGACCCCTGGTAGAGTCTGAGACAAAAAGCCACTGCCCGGGTCACAAGCAGAAAAGAGGCATCATGTGACTTATTTTAAAGAGGTCACTCAGGCTCCAATGAGGAGAATGGATTCTAGGTGACAAGTCCTGAGGCAAGGGGACCGGCAAGGAGACTGCTGGCAGGTCCAGGCAGGGGGTGCTGGAGCCTGGGAGCAGGGAGGCATGGGAAGGCATCCTTAGACATCCAGGAAAGGAGATGTCTGTGGGACTGCAGTTCAAGGGAGGGTCAGGGCTGCGGGTACAGATCTGGAGGTACCCGCTTATGAGCGGTAGGTAGGGCCAGATCATGAGGTTGGGCCAACAGCTATGGATCCCAGACCTCAAACACTCAGACAGAGACTTCGGTATATAGTTTTTGGAGATTCACAGGCCCCCGAAGTCCATCCATAGACCCCGGTTAAGAACCCTGGACCCATAGACTAGAGAACTCCTCCTTCTCCTCTCCCATCACACGACCAAAGAGCCACAGCCTTCCCGGCAGATGGGCGGGAGGTACCTTTTCTGTCCCCCTCTTCCTCGCATCCTCCCCAGGGTCTGGCACAAAGCCGGGGTGCTTGGTAAACTTTGTTAAACGGGACGGCTGAACCATGAAGGCTTCCTTGTTGCTGTCGCAAGGCAAATATTCAGAAAAGCTCCAATTTCCCCCTAAAAATCTGTCTGGGTCAGCACTGGCTACACAGGCTGGGCCAACACTTCCCCAGGGTCAAGTGATCCAGACACACAGAGGTCCTCTGGCCTCAGTAAATAGCATTGATACCGGCAACAAGAGGAATGTTTTTTTAGTATTTATGAATTCATCTTAAAATAATCTAACTTTTAAAAAATATTTTTAATTGATATCAGAGAGGAAAGGAGAGATAGTAATATCAATGATGGGAGAGAACCATTGGCAGGCTGCCTCCAGCACGCCTCACACTGAGGATGGAGCCCCCAACCTGGGCACGTGGCCCTGACCGGGAATCAAACCCATGACCTCTTGGTTCATAGGTCGACGCTCAGCCACTGAGCCATGCCAATCAAGCAAATAATCTAACTTTTCTGTGAAATGACTTACTTCTATCAGCACTACACCCCTAGATTCTGTGAATTCAGCATATGTTAATTAGGTAAAGAATATTGCTCATTCACGTGGCTTATAGCTGAGTCCCTCAGGCCAGCAAGGCACTGTGTTTCCTTGCATTTGTCAAAAACCTAAATTCTTTAATCCCTCTAACCAATTCTTATGTATCTGGATCTGTGAACAAGTCCGTCCATGTCATTCAAAGTCTGCATAACTTTACTGGCTTCTATCCTGTCCCCACTCAGCATTTCAGACAAAACCCAATCCCTCCAGTTTGCAGTAAAAAGACAGCCACATGCACGCCCACCCCTTCCCATGTGACCCTCCTGGCAGGCTCCATCAGTGTCAGAGAGCCCTCTGGCTCTGGGCAGGCCCACCACTCAGATACCGCTGAATCCCTGCAGCTGCCTCTGCCCCATTAAGCACAACCCACCGCACTGTGTCAGCGTCTCTGGCAGCAACGCAGGCTACCTCCCCACATTCCCAAGAAAAGCTCTCCTATTCCTGCCCTTGAGCAAGAAATCAGCCTCTTCCACCACATGCACAGCCTCCCTCCCCGGGGCCAGCAGAAGAGGTACTCACCACCTCATCAGCGATGAAGTCTATGAATCCTGGGAGAATCAGGAAGTCACTATGAGGAGAGAAAAGGGAGTGTTACTGGATGAGAGGGGTTACTTAAAAGGGGTAGGGCCTGCCATGCCAGGGGACGCAGCACGGGGTGAGAGGGGCAAAGGCTGGCCCCTATGTTCCTGAATACTCTTATGCCCCCAACGAGGATCTTGCTAATTTCAGCTTAGAGAGCTACAAACAAAGGCAGTGGAAGGCGTATGGACCTGCGGTACCAAGGCAGTTGCTCAAGTGTCTGTTGCCTCCAGAGTTCAGGGTTCACCAAGGAACATAAAAGTTCCCATGATGCCACACAAGGCAGACACATGGCATGAACCTGAGAACAATGTATTTATTTATTTTACACAGATTTTTATTTATTTCAGAGAGGAAGGGAGAGGGAGAGATAGAGAAACATCAATGATGAGAATCATTGATCACCTGCCTCCTGTATGCCCCACACTGGGGATCAAGCCTGCATGTACCCTGACCAGGAATTGAACCATGACCTCCTGGTTCAACCACTGAGCCACACTGGCTGGGCCTGAGAACAATTTAGAAGTGCAGCATGATATGAACACCACACAGCACAGGACAAGCTGCACATAGTCAGGGCTGCTCAGTCCCACAGGTTTCAGAACAGCCCCAGGGACCCCAGGGGGTTTAGCACAATCAGTGCATGATCTGACTGAAGCAACCAACAGGCATGGCCTGAGATGGGAAAGGGGAGGAAGGGGCCTTCCGGTTAGGACCGGAACCCCGAGGCCCCAGCCAAAGCATAGCAGCTGTAAAACACTAGAGTGGGCCCCGGGCACAGCAACCCCAGAGGGGGTACAGCCACAGCACAGCACACAGCCCAGGGCCCCGAAGGCTCAGCCCCCCACTTCAGGAACACTCCCAACTTGACTAAGAAAAGCAGCTGGCACCTGAGCACAGGAAGGAAAAGCAACAGGGTGAATGGGAGGGGTGGGGTCTTGAACCTGCCCAAGGCCAAGAGCAACTCAGAGCAATATCCCTAGGGAGTTTCCTTGGCAGACTCTAGTGAAAAATATATCAAAGGGACATTCCCTCCCCCCCACCCCAAAGACGGCCAAAGAGCCATGGCCGGATTAGCTCAGTGGACAGTGTGGGCCTGAGGTGTGAAGGGTTCAATTCCTGTCAAGGCCACATGCCTGGTTGCTGGCTGTATCCCCAGTAGGGGGTGTACAGGAGGCAGCCCTTCAATGAGTTTCTCTCATCACTGATGTTTCTATCGCTCTCCCTTTCCCTTCCTTTCGGAAATGAATAAATTAAAAAAAAATTTTTTTTAAAGACTGCCAAAGGAAGAGAATCTTAACTGCCTCTGAGCCATGGCAGCCCTTCTTGCTGAACAGCGAAGAAGCTCTGTGGCTCACCTTCAGGCTGGAGAAGAAATGCAAGAGTCAGGGGCCCTTGGCAGGTCCTAGGTCTATATGCCCCCTCGCCTGGCCCACATCCCAGCTGTGGGCAGGCAGGAGACACCTGGCGTCTAGGGAAACTGCCTGCCCAGCAGAAGCGCTTACAGGCAAGGGCAGGGCCTGGCAGGAGATGGGGCAGGGGTGCTCTTGGCTGGCCAGCAATCCCCACTCCGCCTCAGCCCCAAGCTTCGGATGCTCCTTCCTGGCATGGACACAGTCCTGCAGCCAGAGGGAGAGCCAATGCCAGGCCTGCAGCACGCAGGACAATTGGCCCGGGGCCCACAGAAAAGCAAACTAAAGCCAGCGGCGGAGAGAAAGGTCTTGATCTCCCCCCAAATCCCATGTGGGGTGGCCTTGGGGGTGGCAGTCACAGAATACTCTACCCCAGGGGGGCACCAGTGCTAACCTGTGGGCCCACAGACGCACCGTGCAAAGAGGACTGGACACGGGAAAAGGGAGGCATCCCAACTGTCCAGCTGGGCCTCTCCTGGGGGCAGCCCCCAGGCAGCTGTCTTACTGCAGGCCCTCTCCGCCTGCCCAGTGACCCTGCGAGCGAGTGAGGGAGCGGCTGTCCTGCACCAAGGTCTGGGGAAAGTCTCCCTAACGCCCACATCTCCTGTCCCCACACCCCCAGGCCCCTCCGAGCAGCCAGGATGCCCGTGAGATGGAGAGGGGCACGGCCGGACCCGGATCTACCCAGAAACGGGGCACGGCACCTAGGGCCGCGATGTCGCGGTGCCACGTCCGTCTCCACTCGGCACTGGCCGCCTTCCTTCCCTTACTCAGCACCCCCGCCCCCTCCTCGCCCTCCTCCTCCTCCCTCCAAGCGGCAGCCACCGCGGGGGCAGCGCACATGCAGGGCGCGAGCCCTGGGGTCGCGGCGCGCGCGTTCGTCCCCGCACTCCGGTGTGGCCGGGGACCCCCACCCCCACCCCCCAGCGCTTACTTGTAGGTGAGGCCGTCGGCGCTGGCGAAGAGCTGCTGCGCGGTGAGCCCATCCTCGGGCACGTAGCCGGTGCCGCCGCTGATCAGGTAATCCGCCATGCTGCAGGGACACCCGGCGGCTCGGCATAAACACCGCGCGGCCGCCCGCCGCTCCCGCTGCCGCCGAGGCCGAGCTGCCACCGCGGGCCGGGCGGCCGGGGCGGGAGCTGCGGCAGCCGCGCTGGCCCCGGGCGGGCGCCGCCCTCCCCTCCCGCCCCTCCCCTCCCCGGGGAGGCCGCCGCCTCCGCCCGCGCCGCTCCGACGCACAAAGGGCCCGGGAGCCCGGCCCGGCGCGCGCGCTCAGAAACCACCTGGGCTAGGGCAGCGGATGCGAATCGGGGGCGCCCCCCTCCCCAACGAACCAAACCGGGACACGCCCCCTCCGCCGCGCCCGATCCCGCCTCCTAGGCCCCCTGCGGCGCGTCCCCCAGGCCCGCTCGCTGCCTGGCCCACCCCAGTTCACCTGGCCCACCCCAGTTCACCTGGCTCACCCCAGTTCACCTGGCCTCCACGGGCATGGGTCTCCTCTGGCCCTACTCCGCACCCCCAGGCACCTCTAACATGGCGAGGCTTTCCCGAGACTCAGGCCCAAACTGGGACCAGGAGTCCCGGGTCCTGTCTGGGCCAACAGCTCCCCAACACATAGGAGCCGATGTGTTTGAGCTCTAGAGTTTGAGACTACCTTCCCTCAAATGTGTAGCCCGCCCCACCTTTCCCAATCCCCAATCCCCAATCCCAGCATAATCATCATCATTCCTAGAGGTCATTCTTAACAATGACACTCCGTGAGCTGTGGGAGGCCTTGAAGCCCTCCGCAGATTGACATGGTATTTTTCCTAAGTGAGCACATTCACCCTGCAATCTATTAACTTGCCAGCTATTAGGTATCCCCACTTTACAGAAGCAAAACCTACAGTTCAGAAAGCAAAGAGGTGGGGGTACGGCCTCTGACTCCTGTCCAAAGCGTCAGTCTGACCTCCCTGTCCCCAGCTCAGAAAGGGGTAAGGATACCAGAGGGAGCAGCTCCTTTTCATTTGTGAGGACAGTGTGGTGGGAAGGAGAGAGAGGATCACAGGCCTGGCTTAGTCAGGTAAGGATGCGTACAAATTGGGACAAAGGCTAGAGAAGTTTTGAGAATTAGCCAAAGCAGAAGTGTGGAGGTCCTATGGGTCCAGTAAGGTCCAGATTCCTACTTAGGGGCAGAAAGATTCGGGAGCAAACTGACTCACATGGGGAGAGACGGTGTGGCGAGGGGGGGGGGGGCGGGGGGGGGGGCCTTCCCCTATTAGGTGACCAGAATTGCTAATGCTGCTTCCTGAGCAAAGCTAGAGAATAGATCTCCCCCTCTCCCCTGCCCCAAACTGCCCGGTTCCTCCCTTCTCCTCCTGTGGTCCCCACAGCTCACTTCTTGGTGAGGTGCGAGGAAGGCTGGGCAGGGACACAGTCCCCTCCCTGCAAGGTGGCTGTCTGCAGTGCTCTCCCCATTCCTCCCCACCTCTGGGAGTCTGGGTTTGTTTACCTCTCCGCAGTGCGGTGGCAGCCAGGCCCAGGGGAGTCTCCCTGAGATGCCACCCGGGACCCTACCAGGAAAACAGACGGTTCCATCTGTGTGCAGAGGCGAGGGGAGGCCTCCCGCAGAGCTAGGGCGGTGAGGCTGGGAGTGCTGGCGGAGTTCACAGATTTCCGCAGCGTCCTCCTTCCTCTTCCTGTGAAGGAACATCATAGACCCCCCCCCCACACACACACACACACCAGTGAGCCCCCAAGGAGAGTTCCTGTTGGGGCTTCTGAAGGTCCTCTGGCATTGGCAGGAAGAAAGCCCGCCCGCTGGGGTTCTCTGCTGAGAGATGCCCTGCGAGCACTCCTGATTCCTCAGCTCTTATAAACTCATCTGGAAGACATGTGCCTTGTGGGGAGGGGGGTCACCCTGAGGGGACCAGCACTAGGACCTGTGACTGGTCACCTGGAAGCAGAGTGGTGAGACTGGGCACAGAAAGCACCCTGGCCATTCGGAGTAATGGCAGCCTGGGTGATCACAACGCAGGCCGGGAGAGAGCACAGGCTGTCCATGGGATCTCTCTGGGTTTCTAGGGAACCTGCTCTGAGTCACTACCCCCCTCCAGCGTGGGTCAGAAGCAACCTAGGGGGGGGGGGGCAGGCTTTACCCGGCACCCCTTAAGCGGTTAGAAGTCCTTAATCAGCCAGGCCCTGGGTAGAGCTGCAGGGCTAATTCCCCCACACTTTCGCCCCCACCCCCACCCACCCCAATCCAGCTGATGTGAGCCGCACCGTAGCCTCCGCATGGATACTACTAAACCCACTACTAAACGGCTAGGGTACTGTTTAGGGTTCTACCAGGCTGGAGTCCAGGATAGCAGCTGGGCTCTGCCATCTCTAGTGACATGTGCCCCGATCTACAGCTCGGACCCAGGGGAGGAGGCTGCTAGACTGAGTTGTGAGGAGTGTCCCTTCCCTGGTGACAACAGACCTCACAGCCCTACTCCCCTCCTCCGGTCGCCCCACACCCCCTCCTGCTTTGACCTGTGTCAGGGCTCCTCATTACTCTAAGCTGCTGGGCTCAGCCCTGGGCTAGACTGTCCTTTTCCAGAGACTGTTAATCCACCTCCCCGCTCCTCCCTCCCCCCTCCCCCTCCCTCTTCCTGAGCTCCCCTAGCTGCTTCCTCCACCGGGAGGAGACACCAGGCAACCAGTGGGCCTCCTCAGCCAAGGAAGGGCTGTTGGTCCCCTGAGGCTCCCCACCTAGCAGCTGTGAAGGCGGCAGGGCCTGAGAGCGGGCCTGAGCCCCTTCCAGTCCTTTCCTCAGGGTTGGGGGGAGGCACTGGTGTCCTAGCTGGGCACCAAGGTAGCTCTGAGGTCTTTATCTGGCCTGGGCTGTTTGAATGGGCAAGATTTCAAAACATTTTTAGGGTGAGTTGCAGGGGGGGGGCGGCGGGGGGCAATAACAACATGGGCATTGTTAAGCTGGGCCAGGAGACATGGCGAGCCCAAAAACAAGCCAGGGAGCAATCACTCTGACCTCAGACCCAGGGCCTCTTCCCACAGCTCGCAGCCAGCGGCGGCAGATGGAGGTCTGGCCAGCAGGTTTTGAATCTCATTACACCACCTGCCTGGGGCTCAGGTTTAGCACTTGCTCTTTGGAGCCTGGTGTGGGTGGGGATGGCCCTAGGTGCAGAGAAGAGATGCTCCTACGTGGGCCTGGTCTGAGCTCTGACACACTTCAATGCCTGCTCCAGTCAAGTCACAGCCTCCATCAAGCCCCAGGGGCTCCAGCCCACTCCCTCCTCACACCCTGTGGCCTCTCTGTACAGACCCTGAGCCCCAGGCGTTAGATTTCTAGGATAGGAGGATGGATGGGGTTGCCCAAACCTCGAGAAGCAACCTAGGGGAGGGGGGGGGGGGCAGGCTTTACCCGGCACCCCTTAAGCGGTTAGAAGTCCTTAATCAGCCAGGCCCTGGGTAGAGCTGCAGGGCTAATTCCCCCACACTTTCGCCCCCACCCCCACCCACCCCAACCAGCTTCCCGGTCACCTCCCCAAGCTGCTGAGCACCAACAGATGGGGCAGATAAAGAAGTCCAAATCCTCTGGACCGGAAGGACAGTGGGACAGCATTTCAAGCCGTGAAACAATCCAGAGATTAGCTACCATCTCCAATCCCCTGAGGCCCAGTTCAACACTCCCCCTCCTCCTCCTTACAGACCCCAGCAGGCTGAGGGCAGGAGCGGGTCCTGACTCTTAGGGAGAGATCCTGATGTGAGCTGCACTGGCAGCCTCATCAGACCTCAGTGGGCGGTGAGGAGGGGACGGTGTCCTCACCGGGCTCTGAGAAGGCCATCCCTCGGGACACCTCCACCTGCCGATAAGAAGACGCTAAGCGGAAATGAGCTAAGGAGGAGCTAGCAAAGCTGGATAGGTTCTCCAACAAGCCCTGTTTGAATCCCTGTTCAAAAGCCACTTGGGCCAGGTGTCCTCGGCTGTGTATTCGGAGAGGTCTGATCCAGGGCTAAGATTTTAGGGATTTTTTTTTTTTTAACTCCCCGGTGCAACGCAACACCGAACCCTTCTCCCAGTGCCTGCCTGCACACCCCAACCGAATCGGGGTGCTCGGCGTCAGAGCCCGTTTTCAGGAAGTTAGAGGTAGAGGCGGTAAGAGGAACAGGAGGGTGGGGTCTGCCCCTTCCCGTCCGCACCCCCCCCCCCCTCCCCGCGCGCAGCGCCGCCAGGTCCCCGGAGCCGCCGCGCCCGCCCGGATGCGCCCCGCGCGCCCTGCCCCGGGCGTCACCTCTCGGGCTCGCCGCCGGCCTGCAGCAGGCGGGCGCTGTGCCGCCGCGCCGCCGTCCCGTGTCCCGGGTGTTGCCGGCTTCCCAGCTCCGGATCAGCGGCCGCTCCGCCTCCCTGCGGCGGCCCCAGCCCGGGGGACACCGGGGGCGGCCCCTCCATGCGGAGGCTACGGTGCGGCTCACATCAGGATCGCTCCTAGGCGTCTCCGTCCGGCGGCTCCCCGAGCCCCCGCTGGGGAGTGAGCGCAGCCAGCCGCATCCCTGGGACCAGCCGGGCCTCCGGGGCGGGGCCTGCGGGCTGAGGGCGGGGCCGCCCGGGCCGGCAGGAGGGGGTCCGGGGAAAGGTCCAGAGTCCTCCGGACTCCGCCCTGGCGCAGCGCACTGCCCAGCCCCTGCACTCTGCCTCCCGGACCCAGCTGGTCTGCCCTCCGGGATCCAGCGAGGAACCCTTGCCCCGGCCTTGCCTGCCTTACGGACCTCCTTCCAGGTTCTCTGGTCCCTTCCGAGGGAAGCCAGGAGAAGGTGGAGCACAGTGTCTTTAGAGGCCGGGTTTTCTTCGTGGTTTGGGCCGGTCCCTCTGCCGGTGACAGACGTTAGCATGATACTCAGGAGCGCCTCGGATCTCCCTCGCCAGGGCAAAATAGGCGGGAACCACCCGCCTCCCTTCGCTCTGCCCTCTTAACCTATTCAACAGACTCCCTCCGACGGAAGGAAAGCAGATTTTCCTGGGTTCTTACCTGCCCCTGCCCGAGGAAGGAAGAGATAAGGCTGCAGGCTCCTTCAGGAAAAGTCCTTGCCTGCCCTCCCTTGAGGTACCCGATGGGGGCTTAGCGCACGGGGCCTCAAACTTGTTCACCTGCTGACTGGAAAGCACACCTTTTCCTAAGACGTCTTGGTTATCATTGTTGACTGTTGGTTGGGCACCTAGCAAAGCTGGCAAAGGAGAGGGAAGAGTCCTAGCCCTCAGGCCATGTCTTTGAGAAGACAGGAGACAAACAGTTCTTAGGAGACCGGCCCATCCTTAAGCCAGGATCACAGGGAAACTGGGGCGAAGTTAAACAGAAAATCTAGATGCCAAGCAGTTTGCAGGCATCTGGTAAACCCTATCTTCCCTAAACCAGAGACACTTAGGAGTGAATGGTTTGCACTTCTCCCCAACCAGAGGGTAAATCACCCTACTCAGGGAGACGGCAGAAACCCAGTGAGTGCCATTGGCCAGCCCCTGGACTGATGACGTTAAGGGAATACATTTCTGAATATTCCATTGAGATTCTCCCCCGACCTCCCCCCACCCCAAAAAAATCGCCCTTAAAGGCCCAGCCTTTTAACCCCTCAAAACAAAGGTCCAGAAAGAAAAAACAAAGGTCCAGCTCCTGCTCTCCCCCACCGGGTACATGCCCACCTCCCTTCTCCTCTTCCCTCCACAGGCAGGAATCTCTTAACGCTAAGCGACCCCTCTGGGCTCGCAAGCAGGACAGCAATGGACAATGGTAGTTCCTCCCCTAACAGTACTGGGCAAACCCCTTCAACTGTCCCCAAGGCCCTGTTTTTTTTTTGAGTTCTTAGTGAGCCAAAGCAGGCCAGGCTCATTTCCCAGCCCTTTCTTGTTTCACTGTCCCCAGCGTTAATAAAGCCCTCTCACATTCATCTAGACTCATGTTTTGAAAATTCTGCATGAAGTCAAGAAGCCACACACTACCAGCTCGCCCTAGGCAGACCCGTGCAGGGCCAGGTCCCCTTCCAGTAACATACCATATACTTTTAGAAAACACAATCTGCCTGGCCATGTGGCAAAGGGGTTAGAGCATCGGCCTGAACCCTGCAGGGTCCCGGGTTTGATTCCTCGTCAAGGGCACGTACCTGGGCTGCAGGCTGGATCCGTTCAGCCAACGGATGTCTCACACGGATGTGTCTCTCACATTCCCTTCATGGATCCCTCCCTTCCACTCTATAAAAAAAATCAATGGAAAAACATCCTCAGGAGAGGATTAACAAAAACAAAAACAAAACAAACGAACAAAAATAGTGACAAGGATCCCAGGTTCAATTCCATCAAGGGAGGGAACTTCAGTCACAGGCTCCTCCCTGGTTCAGGCCCTGGTCAGGGTACATGCAAGAGGCAACCAATTGATATTGTTTCTCTTACATTGATATTTCTGTCTTTCCCTCTCTTTTCCACCTTCTCTAAAAATCAATGGGGAAATATTCTCGAGTGAAGATTAAAAATAAATAAATCTTACATTGGGTGCATTTCAAAGAACTAGAGTTGTCCTGGCCGGTTTTGCTCGGTGATTAGAGCTTTGGACCTCAAACTGAAGGTCGAGGGTTCAATTCCTGGTCCTGGCCAAGGGTACATACTGGGTTTGATACCCAGCACCAATCAGGGCAAGTGCCGGAGCTAAACCAACCAACGTGTCTCTCTTGTGTTGATGGGTTTGTTTGTTTGTTTTTATTCTCTCTCCCTCCCTTCCACTCTGTCTGAAAATCAATGGGAAGGGTGGGGGGGAAATAACCTCAGGTCAAGATTTAAAAACAAAGTAGCTGTGTGGCTGAGTGGTTTAACATTGATCTATGAATGAGGAGGTTATGGTTCTATTTCTTATCAGGGCACATGTCCCAGTTGTGGGCTTGATCCCCAGTGTGGGACATGCGGGAGGCAGCCGATCAATGATTTTCTCTCATCATTGATAACTTCTTTCCCCCACCCCCCAATATATTTTATTGTTTTTTTTACAGAGAGGAATGGAGAGGGATAGAGTTAGAAACATTGATCAGCTGCCTCCTGCATACCTCCTACTGGGGATGTGCCCGCAACCAAGGTACATGCCCTTGACAGGAATCAAAGCTGGGACCTTTCAGTCCGCAGGCCAATGCTCTATCCACTGAGCCAAACAGGTTAGGGCTCATCATTGATATTTTTATCTCTCTCCCTCTCCTTTCCACTCTGAAATTAATAATATATTATATACATATATACATATATATTAAAAATATATATTACATATAATATATATTTTTATTTTTAAAGCAAGCAGAACAAAATAGATCTAGAGACATAGAAGTATGGAACATACTGCGGAATCTCAGAGGGAAGGCAGGGGTATGTGGGAAGAGATCAACCAAAAAACTTGAATGCCTAACCCAGGGTCACAGACAATAGGGTGGTGAAGGCCTAAATCAATAAAAATATATGAAGAAGAAGAAGGAGGAGGAGGAGGAGGAGGAGGAGGAGGGGGAGGAGGAAGAGGAGGAGGAGGAGAAGAAGAAGAAGAAGAAGTCGACAATGATGAAATGGGGAGGGCTCTGATTGGCACCCTCCATAACAGCCCAGAATCATGGGAAACACACAAAGTAGGACAATTGTCTAAGAAAAAAGTGAGTGAGGCCCTGGGAAGTAGACAGAATTTGATAAGTAAATGGCACATAATGAGTGGGCCTGAGTCCTGACTGGACCTGGGGCTCACTGTAAAGTGGCTCTGTCTTTTCTCTGGAGCTTGTTGACTACAAATGAGATTTGCTAGCAAACCATTCATTAAAACAATCACATTTTGATGGGATAACCTGAGGGCTTGGTCATTTAATATAAAGAGATCTTACCTCTTGTCTAGAGCAGTGGTTCTCACGGGGACATTTGGCAGTGTCTGGGGACAATTCTTATGGTCCGTGACTAAGGGGAGAGGAGTCATATTACTGGTTTCTAGTGGGTAGAGTCCAGAAATGCCAATAAATATCCTACAGTGCATAGATCAGCCCTTCACATTAAAGAATTATCCAGTCCCAAATGCCAATGGTGCTGAGATTGAGAAACATGTCTAAAGGGACTATTTGAAGAAACCATAACTAAGGCAAAACTATTTAATCTTCCTAAAGCCAGCAGGACAATGGACTGTTTCCCTTTTTGTACACAAAAGACATAGGTATCCTCACTAGGCCCATTTCATGGTCTGAGAAATAGGAGTATTGGATTAAATCTTGTGGAATGTCCTTTCCAGCTTGAAACAAAGTATGTGAATCAATACATGCATAGGATTAGGATGCAATAAAGATGGGGGCTATAAAATTGAGGGCTAGCACTGGCTAGATAGCTCAAGTGTTTAGAACTTTATTTCTATATGCCAATGTTGTGGGTTTGATATCTGGTCAGGGCACATACAATAAGCAACCAATGAATGCATAAACAAGTGAAACAACAAATTGATGTTTCTCTCTCTCCCTAAAAAAATAAGATAAAATAAAATAAATAAAACATTTCTTAAAAATAAAACTGAAGGGTGGAAGTTAGTTTAGACTTCCGGAAGTCAAGTGCAAAAATGTCTGGAAAACACCTGGCCATGAACCAGGAGGTCATGGTTCAATTCCTGGTCAGGACACATGCCCAGGATGCAGGCTCAATCCCTAGTGGGGGGCATGCAGGAGGCAGCCGATAAGTAATTCTCTCTCATCATTGATGTTTCTGTCCCTCTCCCGTCCTTTCTGAAATCAATAAAAAATATTTCATTTTCATGGCTAGATTCTTTTGTATGCCCTAATGTGCCTGGCACACTGTTAATGTCATGTGCTCCATTAGTATCTGATGAATACATCAATACATGCTTTTCAAACGTTACAAAAATACCAGTGGAAGTTATTATTATAGCTAACTTTAGGCCTATGGTACACTTTTATGGGGTAGAGCTATTCATATTTGCTCCTAAATGGTCAGTCTGCTCTCTTTCCACAAATCAAATCTTAGAAACAATTGATTGTTAGCAAGAAACTTTGCTATATCTACTGCAGAGATTTTGTTACAATAAATGGAACCCACCACAACAAAAAATGTCCAAGCTAACCTCCACATATTTCAAGTGATACTTATTCAGATCAAAATATAAATTACAAAATAATCTGAACCATCATAGGTTGATAGTGGTTATCCTGTGTATTTTTGGAGTCAGCAGCTTTCCTGGCATCTACCCACTCGATGTTAGCAGTACCCCCCAGTTATAATGACCAAAAATGCCTTCAGACGTTTTTACAAAATCTTCCCAGTTGAGAACCAGTACCTTCTTTACTGTTTAGCTTCTTTATTTATTTTTTAAAAAATATATTTTATTGATTTTTTTTTTACAGAGAGGAAGGGAGAGAGATAGAGAGCTAGAAACATCTATGAGAGAGAAACATCAACCAGCTGCCTCTTGCACACCCCCTACTGGGGATGTGCCGGCAGCCAGTGTACATGCCCTTGACCGGAATCAAACCTGGGACCCTTCA